TTCCGTATGTTGAGGGAGTATCAGAGAAACTGAGACGTTTATTTTCTAAACATAACGTCCCAGTGGCTTTTAAACCCCAAAATACGTTACGGCAAAGACTGGTTCATCCCAAAGATCCAGTCCCCCGGCACAGAGTAATATTGTGTATGCTGTTCAGTGTGCTAATGATCCATTGTTAGGCTGATGGTCCTTCTTGAGCATGTGAGCAGCTGGTTTTGGTTGTCAGCAGCAAACTGGTTGATCCACTCTGAGAAGGTGCTATTTAAGAGACTGAGCTGAAAACAGCACCTCAGACTGAGGAAGTCTCTTGGATGAGAGACGAAACGTTTCTAGATTTTTTTTTTTTTTTTGAATGTCCAGAGGACCAGATTGAACTTTTTTGGATTTTTCTACCTGGATTATTGAGCATGCATCAGGATACCTAGTTTTTAAGTTTGAACATTTTTTTTACCCATGAAATGTCAAGCAGAACATCCCAGAGATGAAGTAGATCCAAGTAGAACCTGTCTAACCTCAGGTTGTAATGTTTTCAATATATTCATAGATAAACATACATATAAATTAAATGACTAGAGAAATGTCATTTCCTGTGAAGAAGCAGTGTGAATGTTTGTTGGTGAATGATTTTTGCTGAAAGCTGCTCAAGAAGTTGAAGCCAGATTGAAAAGGTTTTATCGTTGAACTGTTAATGGTGAATTTGAACAGCTGACATTTGCTGAAAGCAGCAAAATAAAAGTGAACAACAGCCAAAAACAAAACAAAACAAAAAAGACAAAAACAGCAGTAATGAAAAAGGCAGAGGGGGGCTGAATTAATTTTAAAAAAAGAAAGAAAAGAAAAATCTGAAATATTGTAAGCAAAAAAGAAACTTTAATGATCAGAAAAAAGTAGCTGAAAAGTTGACAATAGCAAAAAAAAATAAAAATGCATGAAGGGAGCACAAAAAGTTGAAATTAGCACAAAAGGTGAAAATTAGCAACAAAAAAATAGCAGAAAAACAGCTAAAATGGCAGAAAGAAGCTGAAATAGCTGAAGCTGATATTAGCACACAGATGCCGAAAAAGCTAAATCAGAACAAAAGCTGAAAGTAAAGGTTGTAAACAGCACAAATGGCTTGAATGATGTGGAGAGAGCTCCATTCATTTTGAATTAGAAAGACATGGCTGAAAAAGCTGAAAATTTCAAAAAGTTTAAGTCACAGGAGGAATGTCCTGAATGAGCTGAACGTTTTGATACATGAATAAAATTACAGAACAAGTTACATGCTGAAAAATGTGGGGAAGAAAAATTTATCTCAGTGGTAGAATGGTTTATAAACATTCACACAATCAAGGATGCTTCTGGGAAAGCTGCTTTGTCTTGTGGATAAGAGCCATTCCTCAGTCACATCATGTTAAGTAAATTAACCCTGGTGGGTTCTGAACAATGTGAAGCTGCCCACAGCTGTCACCTCCTGTCTGCTGGGGGAGCAGCACCAGTCAGGGATGATCACAGGCACTGAACCCTCATTAAAAAAAGCTGAAACTCATCGGACAGAACTTGGAGACATCCAAACCATTCCCATCATGACACTAAGTTCCCCTCCCCCCATTTTAAATATTTGATATATTTGTTTTGTCTGCAGAGTCACCGTCACAGCAATGTGCAACATGGACCTGAGTCGATTTCCTCTGGATACTCAAACATGCTCATTGGAGATAGAGAGCTGTGAGTGGTCACGCAGCTCATGTGTGCACAAACTCCACTTTTAGAAAGTTTCATGAAAAGTAGATAAAATTACTTTTTTTTTCTTTTGAATCTTTATTTAATAGATAAACGTGTAAAGGAAATCATTTTCAGTGGGTTTTTTTTTTTGTTTTGTTTAAGAAAATAATTATTTTCATGAAAGTAAAATATTTAAAGAGCTAAGTAAAAAGGTTAAAGAACACGAATGGTGGTGGCAGGGTATCCATGATGGGTGACTCTCGCACACTGATGCAGTTTAAGAATATGAGGCAGAGAGGATCCAACAGGTCTCATGCCTTGGCTACAACCTCAAGTCAGTCACTGTGCTACTACTACGTTCAGTATTACTGCTCTATAATCTGTGCAGATGTGATGCCATTGGCGTCAGAAACATTTGTAATGTGGGGGACATACACACATTGGTGGGTGGGGCGGGGTGGGGGGTGGGGGGTCCTCCCCCGGAAAATTTCGAATAAACTAGATGCCATTTTCTGCATTCTGCTGTGTTTTAACTGGTTGTTAAACATCTACATTTACCTACATAAGTAAATACTTGATTCAATAACTATTTTAGAGAGCATGGCACATAAAGTAGTCTGACCAACAGCCCTCCTTGTGTGAATAGAGCACGTTCTGTTTCTCTCACACATCCTAACACCCCCACACCCTGGTCGACAACTGCAGGCACTAACGTAGCACTAAGTTAGCAAGCAACACAGAGGTGTTTCCCCCTGTGAGCGCCCTGCCAAGCCAAGTGACCGAGGAGAAACCATAGAAGAAACACTGCATGTGATGTGGTGAGTTGTTGTAGGTAACCAGCAAAACCTGGAGTGGACTTTTAGTGGTTTGAGTATTCTCCTGTTAATCAAGTGGAATGGATTTGTTCACAAAGAAATAGAAAGAGCGCCGAATGAACTAACATTTCATGGTAAATGTCGAGGGGACCAAATGAGTATTTTTTTAAATATGAGGGGGACATGTTCCCTTCACATTTAATTATTGCAACACCTATGTTTGACACACATGATGGTGGCATTATACATGGCAGTAACTTCATCCTGATGCGTTCTGGGAAAGGCCTGACAGGGCGGGGTCTGGAGCATGGTGCAATTGTAGGTGTTCATGATAGGAATGTTGTTGTAGTGCATTATGGACATAATGAACAAGTAAGTAAGTAAGTAAAGTTCATTTATAGAGCGCTTATCACAGACATAAAATAACAAAATGCTGTACAATAAAATCAGCGCTAAAATTAACAAAGAGTAAAACAAACATAAGAAGCACAATAAAATCATGACATAAAAACCTGGGAGAATAAAAGTGTTTTCAGTTACTTTTTAAAAACCTCAACAGTCAGCAAAATGAAGCTGCAGGGGCAAACTGTTCCAAAGCCTGGGGACCACTGACTGAAAGGCCCTGTCCCCTTTAGTTTTCAGCTGCGTACATGAAACATCCAAGAGATTCAGTATCTAGGAACGAAGGCAACGAGCAGCAGAGTATTTGGTTAAAAGCTGGCAAAGATACACAGGAGCCTGGCCATTTAAAGCTCTGTACGTCAGTACAAGAACTTTGAAATCAATTATTCTGATGCATGCTCAATAATTCAGGTAGAAAAAAAAAGCTAAGTCTGGTCCTCTGGACCTCTGAAACAGATTGTAAACTTGACTGGGAGCCAGTGTAGTGAACATAGAACCAGAGTGATGTGACAATATTTACTGGATTTGGTGAGAAGTCTGGCAGCTGCGTCCCTATTGCTTGTAGACGTGAAACAGAAGACTTGTCCAGGCAGGTAAAAAGAGCATTACAGTAGTCCAGAGGTGAAGAAAAGCATGAATAATTGTCTCTAGGTTAACTCTGGGGACCATAGGTCGTATTTTAGAAATATTTTTTAAATGAAAGAAACAAGAACACAAAATAAACCTAATGTGTAACTCAAAGCCTAATGATGAGTCAAATGTGACTCCTAGATTTTTTAATTTTGATTTGGCTACTGGGCAAAAATAGGCAATTTTCTGATTGATTTTTGGATGAAGGTGACTGGGGGCAGTTATCACAGGTTCAGTCTTACTGGTGTTTAAAACCAAGAAGCTACTGACGAGCCAGTCACTGATACGGGACAAACACTGGACAAGGATGGCCAACTTGTCCAGCTGGTGTGGTCTAAATGAAAAATACAATTGAATGTCATCAGCATAAATGTGATAGGAAATATCAGAAAAGGATTGATTAATGCCGGCAAGTGGGATAATATAAAAGGAAAACAAAAGTGGGTCCAGAACTGAGCCTTGTGGCACCCCACAAGTTAAGGGGGCATAGTCAGAGGAGAACCTGTCCACCTTGATGCAGAAAGTTCTGTGAGATAGGTATGAAGTGAGCCAGTCCAAAGCTGAGCCAGAATTACCAGCCAGAACCTTCAGCCTGTTTAATAAAGTGAGTGGTCAACGGTATCAAAGGCAACACTAAGATCTAACAGGACCAACAATTGTCTCAGAGACATAAAATAGGAGGGAAAATCTTATTTGATACCATAGCAGTGTCATGATTAACTTCTTATTTCAATCTAAAAAAGTTGAATCTGGTCCTCTGGACATTCAAAAAACAAAACAAAGCAAAACAAAAAAAATGTAGAAACGTTTCATCTTCCATCCGAAATACTTCCTCCGTCTGAGGTGCTGTATTCAGCTCAGTCTTATAAATAACACCTTCTCAGAGTGGATCAACCAGTTTGCTGCTGACAACCAAAACCAGCTGCTCACATGGTCAAGAAGGACCATCAGCCTAACAATGGATCATTAGCACACTGATGGCTATTTACTATTCATAGGGGGCCGAGTGATACTAGCAATACCAGCATTGTAAGAGGGGGACAGTTGAACCCGGAGACCTCCACCCCTGTTTAATGATGGACGATTTCTTTTCACAAAGATGGCCTCCTTTACTCCTCTCTCAAACCATGGTTCCTCTCTATCCAGGATGTGAACATCTTCATCCCTGAAAGAGTGACCGCTGGCCTGGAGATGAGTGTAGACTTCAGAGTCCTGGCCTGATGTTGTTGCTCTTCTGTGCTGGGCCATCCTTTTGGCCAGTGGCTGTTTAGTTTCCCCGATGTAAGACTGA